ACACACACACACACACACACACACACACACATGCAGGGACACACCCAGCTGCAGAAAGATACACAGACACTGAGATCAGCTGTGTGTGGGAAGACTCAGCTCGGGGATTGCCCAGCACTCAAGTGCATATCTCCTTTGGGATGCAAACCCAAAATTATATGGTCTTGCACTGCATAAAAATCTATACAGCATAAGCTCATGAAATCCGCCCCCTCCCTCAATGTGGAGAAAGATATGCTCAGCTTTTTGCCTCCCCCTTCACCCCCCAGTTATGAATGACACAAACGTTTTTGTTTATTCTAAAAACAAAGTTTATTAACTACAAAAGGTAGATTTTAAGTGATTATTATGGATAGCACACACATCAAAGCAGATTACTGAGCAAATGAAACAAAATACACTAAATTAACTGGTTAATAGTAGCAAATTATCACCCTAAATGTTGTTTTATGCAGGTTGCAGAGTTTCTTGAAGGTAACTGCATTGCCTGCAGCTTAAATCTCCGGGTATTCCTTTCACAGGCTAGACCTTTCTTGCCTGGGCTCAGTCCCTGGCCGCCCCAGCTTAGTTCCTTTGTTTCTTCAGGTGTTTTCAGCAGTCTTCCTTCTTGGGCAGGGAGCCAGTGGAGAAGAACCAAGATTAGCTCACTTCCCAGCCTTAAAAAGGATTTGCATATGATAGGAATCCTTTGTTTTCCAGTTTGACCCCCACCCCCTCAATGAAAAAAACACTGGAAGCCCAAGATGGTGTCCAGTACCAGGTGACATGATCACCTGACCCTGCAGTGCCAAAGCAGCATCCCAGAAAACTTCTCAGGAAGGAGGGAGATTAGCATCTTCAAAGACCTATTGTTCCACTTAATGACCCATTCAGGCTGTTTGCATACTGTCTGGTGGGCCTTCCCCAGGTGAAAACACAGCTGTAATTGTTAGAGTCAATATTCCTAACTTCAGATACAGAAATGATACAGGCCTAAAAATAGGATAATCATATTCAGTAAATCATAACCTTTCCAATGATACCTCACGAGACCCATCTTGCATAAAACATTTCTTAGTTATGCCATATTCATATCATAAGCATATCTCTGAAGAATATGGGGCACAAGGTCACAATCTCTATCACTTTTGTTTTCCAAAAAGCCCTCCCAGTTTCCAGGGCTCACACCAAAATCAATAAGCACCAGGCTAACCTACACTCGATATCCGCTACCTCCTAACAGCGCAATTCACCTGTTGTCCCAGGAAACCGTACTCTGTTTGTGTGTATAAACAAGGAGAGTTGGTCCTTTTTGACAACATCATCTTGTTAGGAACACAACTGTCTTGGTCTATTACATTAAATTCTTTACTTCTGCTGCTTAATATGGAGAGAGTAATGGCTAACCAAATAGAAGGATAGTGAGATACTGGAGAGAGAGTGTACAAACCACAACAATTCCTGCTGACCGCAGCAAAAATTATAGAAGCAATCATTACAGGTTCTAAATATATAGGAGTGTGAAACATACACAAGTAGTATGTATTGTGCTTGCAGCAGTTTATTAGCCTGGCCAATACAGATCTGTGTTCCTAAAAGCTCTGACAATAAAGCACCATAAAAACTGCATGGTAGAGTGGTTAGAGGTACAGAAAATGACTGTAAAAGCAACATCCCAAACCTTTTCCCTTATACCAATATGTTTTAATTATCTTCTGAAGCAGGCTGCCTAGCAACAGAAAAAGGGCTCTCTTTTCTATGGGCTTGACTGAGAATCAACAACAAAATGGTTCAGACCAACCCAAACACATTCACAAGTAGAGTCCTGCAAATCTGCAGATATCCACTTTATATCCACGGACCACGTTTGCGGATCGTGGACTGGATGCGGATACACATTTTTTTATCTGCGCAGAGCTCTATTCACAAGTTCAGTGGCGAGAGGAGACAATTAAGTTGGTCTGTTTAGCCTAACCCAGTGGTTCTCAACAAGGGGTACGTGTACCACCGGGGGTATGCAGAAGTCTTCCAGGTGGTACATCAACTCATCTAGATATTTGCCTAGCTTTACAACAGGCTACATAAAAAGCACTACCAAAGTCAGTACAAACTAAAATTTCATACAGACAGTGACTTGTCTATACACTGAAATGTAAGTACAATATTTATATTCCAATTTATTTATTTTATAATTATATGGTAAAATGAGAAAGTCAGCAATTTTTCAGTAATAGTGTGCTGTGACACTTTTATATTTTTATGTCTGATTTTGTAAGCAAGTAGTTTTTAAGTGAGGTGAAATTTGGAGGTATGCAAGACAAATCAGACTCCTGAAAGGGGTAGAGTACTCTGGAAAGGTTGAGAGCCACCGGCTTAACCCAAAGAAGGCTGAGGAGAGATATGACTGCTCTCTATAAATACATCAGAGGCATAAACACCAGGGAGGACTTACAGGGTAACTAAAATCAATTATTTAAAAAAAAATGGATATTTTTTATTTAAATTGGATTTGATAAAATGCTTTTTGAGGAAAAAAACCTATCTAAAGATAGTTTTAATTAAGATATATCTTTGAGTTATAATGTCTCATCATGGAATATGGATTATAAATTCTAATTCTATAGTATGAGACAATATATTCATGTAATGTTTAAGTTTTGTAAATGAATTTCAATAGTTTATTGATTAGGGACCCAATTTTATGGGTTCCAGGAGCTTC